ATTTGGGGGGGGGGGGGGATTTTATCAATATCTATAATCCCGATGATGCTACAGACACGTTCTACTAATCATTTCTAGTTTACTATTCTTCAAACACATTTTTTTTCTTGTTATTGTGGTTTCAACGGCGCTGATGACATCTCCATAATCTAGTTGAAAGGTAACAACTTAGGATAGCCTAAGATGTAAGCCATTTCCATGTTACAAACGTTCTTAAATATATTTAAAACAATTTTATATTAGAAAAACTTTGTTGTAATGTAAGATCGTTCAGATGGGATTTCTTACATGGTTGCCTGTGTACAATGAATTTTAAAACACAGTTCGAGTACATCAAAGACTGAGGTATTGCCGTTTTTAAGGATCTTTCATTGCGAGATAAGGATTGCCCTCCTCTAAACATTGTTGCTATTTTGTTTCATTTTCTCAAAACGTTCTGTCACAGATTTAATAGACGTACCAACTATAGCCGTAACATCTGTAGCCGTACCCAGTATAGCCGTAGGCCTACCAACTTTAGCGGTGCCAAAGACTTAATAGCGGTACCAACTATTCCATATAAAATTTAAACACGCAAACAGGTTTGGGCTCGTCCATTAATTACGTCAACAATTTTTACGCATTTTTAACCCCCCCCCCCTCTTGTCAACAACTGTCAAACTTTCGATGACCCTTCTATTTAACTATGTCAAAATTTTATAACCCCACCCCTCAAGAAAAAAAAAATGAATTATAATATAAATAAATTTATAAATACATTTTACTTTGTGCTGATCTATTTAAATGACACACACAATTGTTAGGAAATCATTTTATTACATGTTTAGCTTGTTAATCAACAGGTTTAAAGTTTTTACACTTAAATTTTATAATGCAAAAAAACCTTTTTAAAGGACTAAATATCATTGTTTGTTGTATAAATATGGTTATTGTCAGTATAGCTGACACTCATATCAAAGTTTCTAGCTGATATCATCTTCCCATGGAGTAGCCAGGTGTTGCTGTATCGTAACAATGGGCATCAGGGACATCATTTGGGTATGACAGAGGGGCATTTTGCTGGTTTTCTTTAATTGGTATGTACTGTT